GTCACGTATGCGTGTTTACCGTTATTTATTTGTTCATTTGGTCACGGTTATCGTATTTGTAAGAAAAATACATTGACTCACGTAAGACATGAAAAATCTTTCGTGAATAATTAACTGATTTCGCTGCTCTCTCTTCGTTTCGTATAATTGATAATTTAATACATGAGATTCTAATTAAACTTTGAGAAACTGGTTTTGTGTGATCGCGGATTAATTGTAAAAAACAGCAATTTCATAACACATATTGTTATGGTTATGAACAGTAAAGTAAGCCTTGTGACTTAAAAAGAGACCTATGTTCAAATGTACGGCGTTTGAGCTAATACAGATAAAACCTCTGGATAATTACTGTCATAGTCAGTCTGTTGTGACTCGTTTACAGGCAAATGAAAACCGGAGGAATCACTATGCTGCGAGATCGTTAGGAACAAATTTCTTCTAAAATATATATGAACATTAATATTAAAAGAAATTAATGCCATCTTTTTTGGGCTTAAAAGCAACTGGCCAGCCTTTACATTAGTACCTAAATAATAGAGTTAATAAAATATGCTTAATACTTAAGAGTTTTTCATGCACCATTAGCATTCGCCGCTTTCCGATAGGCTATGGGCTCTCGCCGTGACAAGACGTGATCTGATATGTGCAATAATAAAATTAGTGCCCCGGGCCACCGGCCGATCGTTTAGGGCGTATGAAGCAGAGTCTGCCACGAGCATACTGAAATTAATAATGTTTGCGATGCAAAGATATAAGATATAACCTTAATTGAATCTCGTTGATTAGGTGTACTGTTAGTTATCTATGTGTTTAATAATAATAATAATAGTAATCATTTATTTCCAATCACAATGGAATTGATCTTATAATAGGTACATACAGAGGTTGAAATGACAACGTGTTTGACCATTGTGAGAGAGCGGAACCTGCACTAGGATACCCTGTGTTTAGAAGCTAAATTTATGCAAACTAGAGACATATGTGGCCGTTTTATTTAAATATCTAAATGATTAAATAAACATATCAATGGCTTATCCAAACTAACATTATAAATGCAAAAGTAACTCTGTTACGTTTTTTACGGCTAAACCTCTGAACCAATATTGATGAATTTTGGTATAGAGATAGATGGAACCTTGTTTCTCCAAAAGGACATAAGCTATTTTGACACAAAAATTAATCTTAAGGGTGGTGAAATAGGGGAAGAAATAAAACTATGAAAATTAGTATAGTATAATAGTAGGCTATTCGAAGTGCTTATCCTACGCTGTGCTATCTTAACGTTAAAAATCGAATTAATGTAAGTCATGAACATGGTTAAGTAAGCTCTTTACTGGTGAGACATTCCATCAATCAAAATAAGATTTAAAGTCTTAATTTTCCAATTAAATCACGAATTACTTAGAAAATTGGGGGACTTAAGCATAACGCACGTAAACGTGCGTCTGATAAAAAATATTATTTATTTATACTTGAGAATATTATATGCAGCCACGTAACGTACAGTGCTTCTATTGTCTCAATGTCCCTCAGCAATCATCGGATTTCCGAATGCACACGAATATTAATTTCCATGGCCATTAATTATTAGATTTATATAATAATTTGTGGAACGACGTACTTTATTGTTGAGCTTTATTTTGATTTCCGTGTGAACTGTATAGAGCTGTAAAACTAATTGCTCTATTTAATAACATTTACTCCATGCCGATAAGCAAGTTAACAAAAATATAAAGAAAAGGAAAAGGAACTGATTTATCTTTTTTACCATAATCTTGTAAAATATTCTTTACTGTACTGATTGAAACACCGCAAGCTACAAAAATACGTTTTTGGACTTTTTCAAAAATAACCATTGTTGTCTTAATTCAACGTATCGGCTTATTGTAAATACAAGCACACGCTGTAAATTATCCGTCGTGCCTGTGACTTTAGCGACTTTCCTCCCATTGGATAATAAATAAAAATGTAATAGTAGCTCTATATACTTCCAAGTAGACTGAAAGCGTCCGGTGTGTACCAAAGGCATTGAATAAAACCCGACAGCAGCCGAAACACGAAGTTTGCCGAGAGACATTGCGAAAATCGATGTACTGTACGTACTTCGAAGTACATATATGCGGTACCTAGGTACGTCCATTGTACTAGCATTGTACAAGGATTGTACAAAATGAAGAAATATATATGTAAGCAGCCGATGAATCGTCGTCGATGAACTGTGATTAGACAAATCGTGCTTCGAAATTATGTAATATATGAATGAAAATATCTTTATTTTAAAATAATTGCAGACACACTAGATGTCGTCTATGTTCGTCATTTTGCGGAATTAAACAGTTTTTACTTCACGAATGTCTAAATATCAAAATCAAATACTAGTGCCACCAGTACAGAACCCGAAAGTAATATTGTGAATAAGCAATTTCTTTTTATAAGTATACTACACAAAAGCAGCAATGTGTACGTACGTACTTACGGCTGCACCACAAGTCTTATGTAAATTTTTCACTTAATATTCTAAAAACTGTCAGCATCTTGGAACTGCAATTGAAATTCGCACAGATGTTATAGCGCTATGTAAGATATGATGATTCAACGTGGCGCAATTTTATATTAGCTCTTTATGTAACATGCTGCCAAGACTAGGAAGCGCTAAGAGTAATATTAATTTGTAATATCAATTGTAATATTATGCAGAAATTTGAAGTCGTATCTGTTTCATCGTTCATTGTTGTTTTTTATTAAACATATACTACAAAAGTTAAGGACCACTTTGACTAGGCTTTCACATAATTTAATGTAATAACGCCAATTTTGTACAGAATTATTTTTATTATTATTTATTCTACTAAAAGTAAAAATATAAGCTAAGTAGTTTTATAAATAGTATAAGTGATTATGTTTGACATTATTGTTACTGAATGTTGTGACTCGATACAAATTTAAAACAAAAATTTACAAATATGAAAAATAATATACTTTTTAATTTTCTTCCACATCTCTCGAGCAAATCATATAATTATTGTTGGTGAGCATCATTTGCCGGGTTAATTCTGCGGCCATTTATCCATTTACATCCTCAATAAGACGCTTATAAGTGCGAAACCGCAGACCGCGCACAAAACGACTTCAGTTCCTCTATTACTTGGGACTGCTGCGAATTATGCAATCGGTTACTCATTTCACTCGACATAACATTGATATAAAAAATCTATTTTAAATAGATAGAATATTTTCTATGTCCTGTTATTACTAAAATACAATATGAGACGACACACTACACGTGTAATGAATAGAGAATAATTAAAAATTTATAATTTCGAAACTAATTGGTTAATTAAATATATTATTAGAAAAAATATTTTGGTCAAGGTCATTTTACTGGAACATGACAAGTTGTCTTGACTATCACATTGGCGTGCGGCTAACACTCTTGTAGACACTTGCTGACATGCAAATTGTTCCCATCCACACACTGACCTTTCACATGAGTGCCTCAAAGAGGTGTTGACACAGAATGACAAATTGATCACGCGAAAAGGCGCTTAGCACGCGACGACGAAGGGTGAAGAGGTCGTGCGCATCGCTACTGCCATTTCATTCTTAAACATTTGAACTTCCTACCTGACGTTCAATTAAATTTTTGAGCGGCTCGCCCGTTGTTTTGTCATGATGCTTCTTTACTATTTGTGTCTCCTAACCTTTGGATTTTGCAACGAAGTAAATATAATATAGTCTTTATATTATTAAGTAAGTCTAATAAACATTTTTTTTATCTCAATTGTCGTACAGAATTGTCTTTGCGCTGCATATTAAAACCAATTGGCAAATGTTTTTGAAAAGCCGTCATTATCCAGTGCTTTTTGTAATTTTCGATCGTAAGCTTTCGCGTTGTTGCGGAGAATTCTACTAATTTTGATCCTGACATTTTGCAGGCTGTGATTAGGAGCCCTGCGAACACCGTCAGTCGCTCTATCAAAATCACTTATTTGCGTCGGTGGCCGCGTTCATATTGCGCCAACCGGCAGTGGCGACGGATAATCAATGGTCCCACTCTGCGATAAAATTGCGCGTGATCTGCTAGCCTGCAAATCCTTCAAAAAGGTTTCTCAATATTCCTATTGTTGATTATTAGTTCTTTCAAAGGTATTTTTTTGTCCAGAATAACAAGACGAATATGAGTTCATATTTGTATGCTGACAGAAAAGAGAAAGAAAATTTGAAATGCATGATTTTCAGTATTATGGTCGATAAAATTCATATTTTTATTATTATAAATAAGCATCAGAACCTTCTGAATATAATATAATTGTTTTTATTATAAGTAAACAATATTAGGTATGACAACTTAAAATTACTGCTGATATTACGATTTACGCAAGATCCAGATCTATTATTATACTATTATTGGTGTTGGTCTAGAGTCTAGATGATATCGTAGTTCGAGCTGTTTGATCCAGCGAGCTTGCTGATCACAGATCATCGACATGAAGGTCCTAATTAACTTGTTTCGCAAGTTCCTACTATTTTAATAGTTGGCCAACTTTGTTACTTAATAAAATACACCTGAGTAGGTATTATAGTTAAGAAATTGCAGTCTCTGTAAACACTATTACACTAACTATACAATATAATACTAATTTATTGTGCTAAAAGATGCAATATAGGCCTATAGATATGGGTAATATTCATATGTATATTCACCCTGTAGATAGATATTCACCCGGACAAGGGTGTTCTATTTGTAATAAAGAAAGTAAAGGTTAATGCTTCTCATAAATTATAGCGATCCTAAAAATTGTAAGTATTGTTGCCTATGATATAGGCCGTGCACGAAAGTGGTAGTCCACAAAACGTTTCTGGTCAACTTAAAAAGGTGGTTGTTTCTAAGCACGCTTAAACACCCCATGCGCTGCTTAATTTGGAGGCAACTATGCTCCGCTCCTGTGTCTGACGCGGTGCAAATTGTTGAGTAGAGATTGGTGATTATAATTTCTTACTTGTCGCCAATAGTGCAAATAGCAGCGCCTGCGTGACAGCGGTGATGAGTGACCCTCCCCACTTCCGCCGCATATTTAACCTGAAACCAATTCAAATGTTTTGTAACTATTTTTGTGTTTTTGCTATCAAGAAAAGTGTTAATTGAAGTTCAAACAGTAGTACCTAAGTAGAAAGCTTAAATGTAGCTAATACACTTTTTCATAGTTTCTCTCGTTATGATCGTCGTGTCTATGTAACAGTCGAACATGTGAGATACACAGTTCCGATCTGTTAATGAAGTCTTTCAATCGTTAATTAGGTACAATTAATTCTCCTTTGTACAGTTAAAGAACTATTCGAGTTCACTTTTTATTGCTGAATTAATCATTCAAATAAACTCTTTAGTCTTTTGTAGCATTCATGGTGGTAAATAGATAATTGTAGTGTTTAATAAACTTGTCAATACCTGAGTCATAGATAGGTCATTCACTCAGTCTAACAAAACGAAGCTAACGAGGCATCCGGTTGAAGAAGACAATTTCACACGGCAGACATCACGAACTCGCGCGCATGTTTGTTGGCGCCATCTGGGATCACGTTCTACTATACGGCAGGAGAGTAATGTGTTACTTTCCTCGTATGTTATGTCAGACTGTCTCAACGTAAAGCAGATTGTTCGAAGCATTGTCATGATATAGCGCGGTTTATAATTTGTACGTTAGATTGTGAATCGTACGTTTGTATGTAGAAAATATAGCAGATATTATAAAGTTAACGCTACGAAGCATTGGTTTTCCTTATTTTCTAAAATACTTTCTGTAATAATCGCATAACGCATAACCCAGTTTTTACGTATTTTTAACGCTTATTATTGTAAACGGTAGTTTTAAACATTGTATGAATAGTTTGTAAAGTGGTAGCTATAATGTGCGGACATCCTATGTATAAGGCGGTATATAGTCCCAGAAAGTCTTCGCATGGTATAACTTGCGCACGCGGCTTGCCGGAACTCATGCGCGACAACTCGCTTCCGGTCGCCATTGTCGTCGCACCGGCGAGCGCGAGCGCATCGTGCAGTGTGCATCGTGCAATTAATATATGCATTTGCTGCTTTCCCTGTCGACATTTGAACTCCGATCTTAGATTGTTATTGTCAACCAATCCCAACTAAATTCTTTATTCTGGTCATAACGAGTTGACATATCTAACAATGATTACTGGGAAACTAAATAATTTATGTACTTATCTGCTGAAATTCACCAAAACTCCATATATATTAAAACTTTAAAAACGATTCTCCATTAATTGATTATGGTTCTTGTTATGCTATAAAAAGGCTTGGCAAGGAGCAAAAGGTAGAAGGGAAACAAGGCATACCTTCCGGGTGGTAACTTTCATAACAGCACATAAAGTTAAGTCAGAGTCAAAGTTCAAAGACGGAAAGTCTGGAAATTTACTTTTGTAATCGACTACCTGCTTTGCTGTTATAAAACGAACCATTGAAGATGGCTACTGAATAATTACATGCAAATGTGAAGCTTATCTGTGCTGGCGCAAGGCAGAAGATTGCTGATGTTAGCAATATTCGTGTTTAGGAGTGTGGGAAATATTTTCGATTTACTCATTTTCGGCTAAATTTTAAAACCCCGTAACTCCGTTGGAGGAAATCCACTTTACTCTTCAAGCGCAATATCGGGCAATTAAAGATTAAAATATAATACATAGACCTTCTATTAGTTATAAATATAACGTATATAATATATAAAGGTATATAACCATAGATTGTCGTATAATTATTTCGCAATTATTATTAATGATTTCGTAAGTTCACATTAACGTAAACGTATACGAATTTAACCGATATTATTTATTTTATACTCTAATTATTCTGTTATCCTACTTACAATGCTTGTTATTATGTGTTATTTTATTCACCTACACTTCTTTTTTTTCGTGGGTATAATTTATGTATGTTTATTTGCTTTTCTAATTTAAGTATTTTAATTATTTTTTGTAATGTTATGTATTAAATTCTTTTATAATGAGCATTGGTTGCGTCCTCGGCTAATAATTTAACATATTTTTTAAGTTGTTCAACCCGGGGATCGTTTGTAATAGGCCGCCTATTGTAACTGTCTTTTCTTTTATGTTTTTTTAAAGTATTTATTTTTGTGTGCAATAAAGAGTATTTGTATTGTAATTTTATAACGCACAAAATAATCAGTCAAATAACTAGGCAATTACTCTTACGCTTATAATATCCTAATCCTTCAGAAAATGGCAAAAATTATTGTCATCCATTATTTACAAAGGCTCCACGTTTCGCGTAACTTTCCACGCCTTTGGGTAAGTGGCAGCATAGTGGACGTAAATTTATACCGTTTACCACTGCCTGGACCAAACAACTTCCTTCATAAATAACAAAGTAGCAAAAGTTGTACCATGAAAAGTATTTGATAAGTGAATATTATTTTCTGTGAGTTCTCTTGCGCCGCGCTATTGCAGGTGACTTCCTACTCGCGAATCCCAGGGACTATCGCTCAGAGATCGCTTGCGAAACCGCGGAGCGTTTTCGTCGACTCTTCCCATGCATTAACCGCCTTTCGTTCGTCACGAGCGCTCGATTCGAATGCGATTGTGGGAGATCGCCACACTGCGATAGTAGGGCGGTACGCGACGTGATTGTCATTCTGTTTTGATTGGTTAATTGCCGCTCCAAAGTTCAGAGGTCTCCGACTAGATGCTTTGTAGATTAAGGGTCTGAACTTTTTCATTCACTACACATTGACCAATACGTAGATTGAAATGAACTTGTGAAGTGATTGTGATCAACTTACTGGCAACGACAATCCTGTGTGCACCCTATTCTTTCTCTCTGTGGACGTTCGTATTCGTGATCGCAACAATTCCAATGTTTTAAACATAAACATTTCAAATAAGGCCAAGCTCGCATCGCAATTGCAACATCCAACTAAATGGGTACCTTTAATTGCATGTCAAAGGAACACCACGAAGGTATAACACAGGTCATTTAGCGTCGCAAAATCGTAACATCTCGTTTGTCGCAATTGATAGGTCGACTATCAATCGATCGCACGACCTGTGTAATAAATACTCGAATCGTTATCGCAATTCCATGTGTAGGTAATTAAGAGATTATACTACCTGCGCAAGCATACATATTTGAAACAACCCGCTTACGAAATTACTTCTTTGTTTACTCCGTCGCCAAATTCGAACCTAGGTGTAATAAAGTCACATCAGAAAAATGGCAACTTTTGAAGAGATAAGTTTAAAAATTCTACGATTGAAATTAGTGGCTAAGTTTTTTTATGTTTAAATAGGAGAGATAAAATTTCACATGTACATACATAATTTGTTTCACGTATTTTGTATTATTTTTATGACTTTAATGTGTTAAAAGCACTTATGATGTATAATCATTTGTTATTGTCTATCAAGTGCATACATCTTAAAAGTACGTGTAACTAAAACCTTGACCCATTTTCTTATAGGTAAAGATGACAAAAATAAATACTAATGTTTTATTTGAGATTTTTTTGTGAAATAACTCCTCATAGAAAAATTTATTCGATCCGGTGGGACTTGAACCCACGACCATGCTGCGCCGTAGCATTGCTCTTACCAACTGTTACTAACTTTTAGTCAATTTATTAATGTTTTTGGCCTTAATTTAATTATGTAATAAGTTACTTACAATATAAGAGGAAATTAACGTTTCGTAATTAAACTACGTGCAACTTTAACAAATAAGATATATTTGTTCGTTCATCTGTTGGTTTGTAACATTATATAAGCATGAACATCCTAATTCATCAAGGTTTACGAACGTTTGGAAATGTATGGAATTTGACTTAGCCACTTTCGTTAATATCTGAATGGCAATTATTTTTGTTATTTTTAAGTCCTATAGTATTAACTTCTATGTAGTAGGTCAATGGTCTATAGTTGATTTTACCATTTAAAATAAGGTGAATAAATGATTGCATGTAAGTTTGAGTACCCACGAGTACCAAGCTGGTCGTGCGATTAAAAATACAATGCAATGAAAATATTTGCGCAATTTACAATGGCCGCCAAAAGCTGGCAAAACATCTGATAGTATTATTCTCAACTCTGTTTATATGTATATACATATTACACTTGGCGTTTGCAGTTTTATGTATCGACTCATCCTTAGAACAAAACCTATGTATAAGACTTCTTATTCTCAGGACATATACAATTCGTTCGTTGTTCTTCGCTGTGGATGTCAGAGCAATCGTTGTTCGAATTTATATTTCCGAAACAAAATAAGAAAATTCTAATAAACCTATAAATAGGGCTTAGTTTGAATAATGAGATTATGTATTTATCCTATTTTCGCTGTATAATCACATCGGACTCTCGACATCGGACACGGGGTGTGCCTTATCAAATGCTTCAAATTACAGCGAATGGTCTCAATATAAACTACAATTTTTGGTTATCCTAGCAAATGTTATAAATATCGAGTATATTTGATTTATTTTGAGATATTTATATTTGATGCGTAATGTGTCATATAAATATTTTTAATTTAACGCTCATTTAATGTAATTTTATTTAGTATAATTTTTTTTCATATACCAATTCACTCAATTAATTTTCTTATATTATTATTTTTCTTTCTTTTCTTATAAAATATAATTTTCTTATTAATTAATTCACTCAATATAAAGAACGTTCAATATAAACTTACATTCTATGATTTAATTTTTGTTAACAATTAAAATTTTTGACACTCAATGTAAGTTATGGAGATCAGTTTACATAACTACAAGTAAATAGACTAACTAAACTGAAATTAATTTGACCTAAAACATGTTCGGAACCGCAAACAAATTCGATTCTGTTTCTGCTTTTTCATTTACGACTTTAGGTGTTGGTCCAGTCGGACACCAAGGTATTTGATGCAATTAGTACCATCGAACCTAGGACACTAGCAAATTACATTAAGAGCGGAAAGTGAAAACATACCATGACTAGATAAAGAACTGGTAAGATATTTTGTTTTATTGACATAAAATGTTAAGAGGTTATTCAGTCGCGTACTTACAG